CCGAGTTAACACACAACAGGGAAATGTTACTCTAGTTATTAACTTCTCTAATACTGTTACCTCAACTACAACATGAAGGGGAAGAGAAAATAGTGTTCATCTAATAAGGTAGTTAGGAAAATTAAATAAAAAACAAACCTCGCCCAGCCAGTGTGGCTCAGTGGTTGAGCGTCGACACTGCACCAAGAGGTCATGGGTTTGATCCCAGGTCAGGGCACATGCCCAGGTCGTGGGCCGATCCCCAGTGGGGTGTGTGCAGGAGGCAGCCAGTCGATGTTCTCTCTCATCGATGCTTCAATCTCTCTCTCCCTCTCCCTTCCTCTCTCTCTAAAACCAATACAGAAAAAAAAATTTAAAATAAAACACAAAGCTTAAAAAACGCTTAACCCAGCTGGTGTGGCTCAGTGGACTGAGCACAGTGCCATGTACCAAGAGGTCACCGGTTTAATTCCTGTTCAGGGCACATGCCCAGGTTGTGGGTTGGATCTCCAGAAAGGGGGCATACAGGAGGCGGCCGATCATTGTTCTTTCTCATAAATGTTTCTATCTCTCTCTCTCCCTTCTTCTCTCTTTAAAAAAATAAATGAAAACATATATTAAAAAAAACCAAAACTCTTCGCATAATTCATTAAGTACATAGTCAATATTCCATGTATGTTATCTATTACAACATTCTTATTATTGACACATAAAATATCACAGAAGTTATTGCAAAAAAAAAAAAAAGGTATTTAGTAGAATCAACATCCTAAATCAAATTGCAAAACAGTTTAAAAACTTGGAACTATAAGAAATTTCCACATCATCATGAAATGATACATAGTGACACTAATCCTAGTGGTATTCTATAATCTTATCTAAAGCAATAAAAAAGTCAATGAAAGAGGTATGAGTATTGACAAGGAAGATGTCAGAATAAAAATTATTTGCAAGTGGTATAAACTTTCCGCACAGAATATTGAAGAAAATCAATGGGATATCTATTAGAACTGATGAGCATTCATAAAGGAAGCTGGATACTATGTTAGTATACAAATCAAAATTAGGTGAGAAAGAGAAGGAATAACAAGGGAATAAGTAGCTGGATCCCTACGACTCAGCTCAAACCAAGTCTTAAGCCAATAACAAGACGAGCAACTCCTTAGTACTAAGGAATCTTCATCTTATGTAATGTTTCCAGTGACTTCTACAATGTTAACTGTCCCTTGAAAGGCCGTATGATACCTTTGTAACTTTACACGATACCTAACGAGAAAATACTACATTATTTTATCTACGAAATTTACCCTGAATCCAGTTTGTATTCTTTCCTAATTTTTGGTTTAACTCCTAATTTGGTTCTCCGTGACATCCTTCCCACCTAACCCCAATATAATTATTTGAAAACTGATTGTTGATCCATCAGATTCCTTCTTCTTCCACCCTGTAGCACTTCCTTCTTAATCCCCCCTATCTGGGGTGAGCGAAGGCTTATATCCACTGAACATTCAGATCTGAAATGTTGCTCATGTCTAATCACACAAACTTTGCGGATTTAAAACATGATCCAGAGGCATTTAATGACTTGCCCAAGGTCACAGGAAGGTGATTTATATCCTACCCACATCCTACTGTCTTTTCACTACACTGCCTGTATTCCAACAGTTGTCCGGTACGAATTTTCATTGTCTCATAATAATGTTAAATCTTGAGGTTCAGTGAGGGGACAAAAATAACTACTACCTTTGCATCCCTTTTAGAAAACATTCACTCTATTACATCATCAAATATACCATATACAAGGCACTGTTATAAGCCCTATGGTGAAACGAAACCAAACTACCTGCCCTTGTAAACCTTCCATTTATTCAAAGCAGGATACATTTACCATGAATAGTATACAGCTCATTTCACTCTGTAAATTAATTCGATTCCTAGGAAGAAGTCTTTCATTGCTGCCCGGAAGGATCCTCACTTGGGACCTGAATCTCTGTATCACGCTCCTGAGATCTAAGATTCCTTCACTTAGAAAAATGACAAGCATAAAGATTTAAGATACAGGTCCAAGACCAAAGGCCAGGATTTAACCGGACCCAATCTGCCTCCAAGGCCACCTCGCCTGTGTCATCCAGACCTCGGAAAAGCAGGTCTGTGCACTTGTACTGCATCTCCTAAGTCTCCGTCATGATCAATCTTCAGCATCAAGCACAGAACACATCTGAGGAGAAGACAGTCCCTTGACTTGCAGTATATTGTGACAAGCTGTTCTTAAGTATACCAAGAGCTATGAGTTTTGTGTTGTGCTGCTTAAAAAAAAAAAAAAAAGATCACTAATCATAATCCTTCTGGAAGGAAAATAAAAACCTTGAAAATATAGGGAACTGTTCCAACCACCAGAATTTAGCTATTTTACATACAATCAATGTTATACACATGCATACACACACACACACTGTTTTTTTAAGGAGAGCAGAAAATACACTAAAATTCTGGTTGTGCAATATGCACTAGACAACTCTCATTTTCCTGGTAATTCATAAAGTGTCAAAGGGAAATCGAAGTTTCACTTTTGTTTTCTTCTAAAGTATGAAGTTTACTTCCTAGTTACTAGCTTGAGGTCTACTTCCTACTTACTAGCTTGCTTACTAGCTTGGTGGATTTAAACGTATCAATTTATTTGAAGTAGGTGGTATAAAGTATACATACTCATATAAATATTTTTAAAATAGCTCTAATATGAATAACAAAGCAATAGTATAGTAATATAGAAAGTAAGCAAACATATTAAGTGTTTCTTTTAAAAAAATACAAATACTATAAGTCTAAAAATAATTATACTGCTCTACAAAAAAATTCCCCAATACCAATAAAATAATCTGACATGCACTAAAAATGGCATCATAATGGTACTACTTTAAATTGACTACTATTCTCTTTATGTAAGGAGAGGGGTCATTAAACTAGGAAATTGTACTTGATGGCCAAGATCACTTTCAGTCATTTGATTCTTAATCCTACAACTTTATGTATAAACCTCTGAACCAGGCAGATCTCTATCATCTGATTCTATGCTAAAGAAGGTACTTTAGTCAAAAACAACTTAACGTTTGCCATTGTTCAGATTTAGGAGTTGTCAAAAATAGCTGCCCTTCCTCCTTTGAAATAGGCTTTAATTTTCAACACTGAAAAGAACTATAAACAAAAAGATACCAAATCTATTCAGTGTTACTTAGTATGAGTGACCACGAAATCCTCTTCTAAGTATTAACACTTTATCACATACTCAAACATCAAGCACCAAAGTGTAAGACATTCAAAACAGAATAGAGGGGATTAGGAGACAAGCTGTTCCAAACTCCTATCAAATCTAGAATTGTTTTACTGTAAGTAAACAGCAGTGTACAATAACCTGCATGTACCAGTAGCCCCGAACCAGAACACACACGAACACACGCGAGTTACAAGAGAACTTTCCCAAGGGGCCTGAAATAACAAAGCACTGTCCCTCGCTTTCCAAAATTCCTGAGCATCTTCAATGACTTCAAGCACTATCATAAAATTCTAAAAATAATCTCAAAGCAGAAACTGAGCAGGCCGCGAACACAGACACTGACCATTTTAAGACAGCAGGCCTCACGCCACAACCCGGCACAGGTAGGATCCCCGATGCCAAAACTACAGCAGGGTGCGGCGTTCATTCCTCCCCGGATAAACCACACACGGTTTTGGCAGCTGCTCACGGCCAAGAGTAGTGATCCCCATAATTCCAACAGGACTAACGCAATGTTTTCCTGTTACCCGAAATGCTTCTCACACAAATGACCAAAAAAAAAATTAAGTCACGGCCAACCACTCCGCAGGATACAGTTCAAGCCGTGGTCGTGCGCGTGAGAGTCTGAAGGCAAAATCTCGAATCCAAGAAGCGTCTCTCACCACTGACTGGAAAAGACTGAGGCTGCACAAACATAAGATTTTCTCTGTGTCTTTTTTTTAAACTTAAGTGACCATTTGAACGTGTGACTGAGGCCAGAGTAAAGGGTCAACGATGGAACAAGGTCAAACTCAAGGGACAAAAGATTCCTGGAATAAACGTGACCAGAAGGGTTTCCTCCTAAGGGGCAGGTCCTAGACTCAGAAAAGGGGGAGGGGGTGGAGGAAAGAGAAACAGAAAGAAACAGGAGGAAGGGAAACCGCCAAGTCCTCTCGGGGCACAGCGACCCCCGGGCCCACGTACCTGCCCCGCCGGGCAGGCAGTCCCGTTCCGGGGAGCCCCTGGGGCGCAGGAGCAGGCCTGGCCCGCCCCCGCCCTGGAAACACTCACTGTGCCCAGAAGGATGACAACTGGCTGCTCATCGCAAAGGGCGAGAAGTTTAATGAGGAGGCCACGCGGAAGCGTGGAGGAATGTGGGGTCGCTCTCCGTCAGCGCCGGCCCGGCTGGGGTCGGGGGACAATCGGCAAGAAGGGGGTGGACCCGCTGACTGCACCCGCTCCCCGCGAGCGGCCCCACCGGCGCGGCCCCCGAAGGCGCGGGAGGGCGCGGGGAGCCGGGCGCTGGGGAACCAGGCGGCGGGGAACCAGGCGGCGGGAGAGAGCCGGGAGCCGGGCAGCTGGGAGCCGGGCGGCGGGAGGGAGCCGGGAGCCGGGCAGCTGGGAGCCGGGCGGCGGGCAGCCGGGAGCCGGGCGCGGGGAGCCAGGCGGCGGGACGGAGCCGGGAGCCGGGCAGCCGGGAACCAGGAGCCGGGCGGCGGGAGGGAGCCGGGAGCCGGGCATAGGGGGCCGGGCGGGGGCAGGCCGGTGGAGCGGCACGTCGGAGGGCGGCGGGAGGGAGGGCGCCGGGGGCCGGGCAGCTGGGAGCCGGGGAGCCGGGAGCCGGGCGCGGGGAGCCAGGCGGCGGGAGGGAGGGCGCCGGGGGCCGGGCAGCTGGGAGCCGGGGAGCCGGGAGCCGGGCGCGGGGAGCCAGGCGGCGGGAGGGAGGGCGCCGGGGGCCGGGCCGGGCCGCGCGGCGGGCGGGCGGGCTCACCTTCTGCGCCGCGCTCTGCTGCAGCACGTTCTGCTCCACGGTCATGGCCCCGGCGGCGGCGGCCGGCTCCTCGCGCGTCCGCGGGCCCGGGCGGCCACGCTCGGCCGAGCCGCAGGGAGCAGCGCGGGCGGCCGGGGACAGCGCCCCCGCCAGCCAGGCGCGAAGGCGACGGCGGCCGGCGTGCGCGGGCACCGCGGGCACCGCGGGCGGGCGGGCGGCGCAGCGCGGGCAGCGAGGGCCACGGCGGCGACCTCACGACTCGGCGCGGCGGCCGCGGCCCGGAGCGCAGACGCCGGCGCGGGGCGGGGGGCGAGCCGGCCGCGTCACGCGCGCTCCTGGCGGGCGCTGGGCCGCGGGGGAGGCAGGCGCGGCGGGAGCGGCCGGAATGGCGCTGTCCTGCTCCCGTCGGGCCCGCCCCGCCCGCGGTGCCCGCCCCGCCGCGGCTCCGCCCGCCGGCCCCGCCCGCGGCCGCCCTAACCCTACATTGTGACCCGCGGGCGGCCGGCCGAGGCGGGGCTGCCGGAGTCCCGCCCCCCCGCCCCGCCCCGGCCCCGCCCCGCGCGCCCCAGCTCCCCGCGCTCCCGGACGGGCGAGGGCGCGCCCCGCAGGCCGGGCTTCCTGCTGCCTCTGGGCGGGCGGCGCGGCCGCTGCGCCCGGGCCCGCGGGCTTCCGAGCCGAGGCCCGAGGCTGCGCGCCTCCCCGCGCCCGGGAGCGGCCGGCTCGCCGGCCCGCCGCGTCCCTGGGAGCCGGCGCGCCCCCGCCAGGCCCCGCGACGCCGGCCCAGACCGCGAGGGGCCCACCCGCCCCTCCCGGACGCCCGCCCCTCCCGGACGCCCGCCCCTCCCGGACGCCCGCCCTCCGCCTGCGCCTTCCAGGAATTTCCCGGGCGCCGGGCTCGCCGGAGGGAAAAGTCAGGAGTGATTGACCTGAAGGGCCGTCAGGAGCCCTGCTGGAATGTGCCTGTCTCCTCTCCGGCCGTTTCCTGAATCAATACCGACATGCTCCTCCCCGGCCTTCGTCCAGACCTGTGCCGCCACTGCCCGGCCCTGAGCCACGAGGTTTATTTCCCGGAGATTTGATACAAATGAAGTAGGGTCTGTGAAGCAGAACATGACAAAAGTGCTGCTGCCCAGATGCTACATTCTTCTAATACCCCAGATGTCAAACTACCACCCTGCAGGGAATACCTGACAATACACCACCGCACGGAAACCCTGATCTGGAGAAAGCAGCATCTGTCCTCAAAAAATCTTGTTTCAGGAGCTCACCTGGGGACGGGAGGCCAGGGAGCTGCTGGGGGGAGGGGAGGGGAGGGAGGAGGAGGGGAGGGTGGGGGGGGGGGGGTCAGCCCACTGTCAAAAATTCAGTGCACACAGGTGCAAATATGGGTACAATTTTTAATCCGTTGACCAGGAAAAGCAAACTTGGTAAATGATCCTTGACGTCTTATTTGGTTTTATTTAATAATCATAGATCAAGTAACTCTTAAGGCTTTGTAACCAAGCGGTGCCCATCACAACAGTTTTTTGGCACCTTAGATTGTTTGTAACCCCCCCTTTGAGACCTTTTCCTTGAGTCTTCATATTTTTTGGTGATTCGATTTTCACAAATTACAAATTTTATTTCATGGATATGTCTCTGCCAGAAGAATTTCAAAAAACATGTGAGAGGGTTGGAAGCCCTTATGCAACAGTTCTGATTGCACACTTTTTTTTTTTTTTTTTTTTTATGAGAGTGCTGAGACTCAGACACTGACTTGTCAAAGAAGGCATACCAGAACCCATTCTTCCTCATTCATAGACCAAAGTTCTGCTCAACGTATCGATTTCATGCTTCTCTGTAGTTTAGATTTAACCAGAAAATCTATCAGGTTCATGATATTAGAAATTAACAAAGTTAAATCGAGGCCAGCCAATGTGGCTCAGTGGTTGAGCGTAGACCCTGCACCAAGAGGTCACCAGTTTGGCTCCTGGTCAGAGCACATGTCCAGGTTGTGGGCCCGATCCCCAGTTGGGGGCGTGCAGGAGGCAGCCAGTTGATGTTCCCTCTCATGGATGTTTCTGTTTCTCTCTCCCACTCTATTCCTCTTTCTAAAACAATAAAGAAAAAAAATTTTTTAAAGAAAGCTACATCGAACATAAAAATCAAGTACATATTGTGGTTAAAAAAAAAAAAAAGATATCTCCAGATACTAAAGATTAGTTTCAAGCATTGGCAATAAGTATTCCTCTGAGTTAAAATTTTTAGTTCCACCCAGACATGATCTTACTAGCTAATCATCAAATGAAGCTTTATATAGGGTGGTCATAACTTGCCCACTTTGGTAATTTATTCACAGCTTACTTCTGATGGTTTTCTACTTTTTATTTTTTAATCCGCACCAGAGGATATGTTTTTATTGATTCTAGAGAGAGGGGATGAGGAAGGGAAAAACATCAATCAGTTGCCTCTGTTACAGGCCCTGCCCAAACGGAACCCGAAACCTAGGCCTGTCCCCTGACCCCGGGAATGGAACCCGTACACCTTTGGTGTAGAGCCACCCAGCCAGGGCCTTACTTATTTTTTATTTTATTTTTTTTATCCTCACCCGAGGACATTTTTCCATTTTTTGTTCAGGTAGAGTGGGAGGGAGAGAGAAGAACAGAGAGAGAGAGAAACATCGATGTGAAAGGGACACATCGAGTGGCTGCCACTCGCACAACCGACCAGGGCCGGGGACAAACTGCAACCGAGGTACATGCCCTTAGCGGGAACCGAACCCGGGTCTCTCAGGACCGCAGGCCGACACTCTAACCGCTGAGCCAAACCAGCCAGGGCCTTACTTATTTTTTTTAACCTTAATTTTTTTTTTTCTCATTTATCTTCAGATACAGTGGGAGGGAGAGAGAGAGAGAGAGAGAGAGAGAGAAATCCATGTGAGAGAGACACATCATTTGGTTGCCTTCCACCGGACCCTGACCATAGCCAGGGACAAACTGCATCCTAGGTATGTGCCCTTGGCTGGAATCGAACCCATGACTTTTTGGTCTGTGGGCTGATGCCCCAACCACTGAGCCTAACCAGCCAGGGCTTAACCTTAATTTTTATTTTGTAGAACTTTGAGAAGAAAATGTCAAGTTTCCTTGTAGGCATTCCTTCTTAGAAAGAGTACTATTGGAATGAATAGAAAATGGAAATTTGAGAATTTGGATAAATTTGCACATAACACCCATTGCCAGTATTCTAATTCATTTTTAAAACCTGTCACCATGTCAGTTTTGTTGCTCATGAATCAGTCTTCAAATGTATAGCTGTTGAAATAACAGCCTAGGTGATACTATGTAATAATTCCTAAACTGTTGCTTTACTCGGGATTGTTGACACGCAGGTAAACTTGTAAAGTGATAGATTTCAGATAACATTTAAAATTTAGTTTTTACTGCCGAGTCTATTTTTCTATTTTGGATCAAAATTATGCTTCTTCTAGTATATAATATTGTGTCTCGTATGTGAACCAAGGAAACTGGTATTCTTCTATTTTGACTCTTCTTTTCTCTTTGTTTAGAAAAGGGTCTGAAAATCTGTTTCTGGACCCGGCATTTAATACGTTGCTAAACCACATTTGTAAGACACGAATAAGAGAGACACATTCCATTCATAGCGTAGCTCTGAACAATTTCTATGACAAAAGAGAGGTTCTTCAATCTACTTTAAGGAGGATAAGAATGATTTCCTTCTTTAGATGTATTGACATTCTGGAATAGTTTTTTTTTTTCCATCAATAAGGAAACCATAAGCCATTTGTCAAAGAGGAGCCTTGTATGATGTCACAGTGGTGCTATTCAGTGATAGGGTGTTCACAGATGAGACCCTGGAAGAGGGCCCTCTGCCTGAGGCGTGCACAGTAGAATCCTTATTGGATTCTATGTGAAGCCACAAAGGAGAGAAAACGTGTACTGAATGTCTCACTGGCCCCCCTCATCCCACGTGGGCAGCTTGTGGTTCTGGCTGCCGCACCGTTCTATACGACACGGGGCACCATTATTCGCATCCCCGGCAGTCGGTGGTGCCTTGCACGTGGAGAGTGTGCGGATACAGCTTCTCTGTCCGCTGGGGCCGTCTTAGCAAGACAGCACCAAGGAGGGGGCTCCGACAGCAGACGTCGGCTCTCTCAGTGCTGGGGGCTGGAGGCCACCACGAAGGTCCAGCAGGGTGGCTTCTCCTGCAGCCTCTCCTGGGCCTCAGGCGCCACCCTCTTACCACCTCTACGGAGGTGTTGACGCTCTGTGCCCAGGCCCCTGGTGTCGCTTTCTGTTTTCATAAGGACACTGTTCACGGAGTGGGCGCCCACCCATGCCAACAGCCTTGTGTGAACTTACTCGCCTCGTGAACGGCCTTATCTCCAAACGCAGTTGTATTCGGAGGTGCCAGGGGTTGGGACTTCAACCTAGGACTTTTAGGGGAACCGGTGAGCTCGTGACAGTCAGGTTTAATCTGCTTGATCCCTCGCTTTATGCCTCTGTGCCACCAAGTAGCCTTGTTCCGGCTCGGTCCCACCACCTGCTGGACTGCTGAGATGCTCAGACACTGCAGCAACGGCGCTTCCGGGCCTGCCCATGAGGACCTTCCAGTTAGAACGGGGGGGGGGGGGTGTCTGTGAACTGAAACAGAAATCTAGTCCAATGTGCACCCCCCCCCCCAATCTACTTTAAAAGCAAGGTCTGGCCAGGTAGGTCAGTTGGTTGGAGCATCGTCCCATACACCACAAGGTTGCGGGTTCAATTCTTGGTTGCAGATTCAATTCTTGGTCAGGGTACATACCTAGGTTGTGGGTTCAATCCCCAGGTGGGGTGTATAAGGGAGGCAACTTCTCTCTCTCTCTCTATCTCTATCTCTCTCTCTCTCTCTCTCTCAAAATCAATAAAACATATCCTTGGGTGAGGATAAGAAAATAAAAGTTTAAAAATAAAAGCAAGGCGTGCTTGGGTAGAAAGCTATGCTCTATCAGCTGAGAGCTAGCACCACAGTGGAGAGTTCTTCATGAATCACTTGCTCCCCGGACCTTGGACATGC